GGAGGGGGGAAGAAAATGCAAATGCTTCCTTGCAAGATGTAAATAGAAAACACACACGTGCGCGCGTGCACAGACACATATATATGTATCTATGCATGTACACAAGTACGTGGACAACTAAATAATTTTGTTTGAAAAACCATGCACGATGTCTTGTGAAGTTTTACCTCATTCAACAGGTATAACCCTTATGCTTTTTGGACAATATCAAAAAGTTGTTACTATGCTGTAAGAATAAAAGAAAGCTGCAGTTTTCTCGAATGCTAAATGTGGTTCAGTGGTTAAAAAAAAACTGATATCATGTTCAACGACTTTTTTAAAATATCGTGTTCATTGGCTTAAAGGACAAATAAAAAAAAAACTTTACTATGGAGTCAATGGCAGGAAAAGCTCACGGGGCATTCTTGAACAAAACTAAGGGGAAGAAAAAGTAGACACTATTAGATTTCTATACTTTATTTTATTACTAAGACTTGTGTGCCCTGCCCATTGAAAAAGGTAACCCAAAAAGTAAAAAAAAAAAAAAAACACTTTGTAGCTTGGAATTCATCATCATCATCATCGTTATTATTATACATATAAAATATATAGCTATTCCAAATTTACACTAGCAGTCATATGGATGTTAACGGGTAGTTAATGGACAGTGAAGTTAGAAAAGAGAGACTGCTAGAGGCTTCTCTCCAATAACCAATAGTAGCATAACGTGGATGACAGAGGTTACTCTGCCTGAGGAAGTCAAATTAAAAACAAGTTTCAAACTACAGAGTTTGACGATCTGGGAATTAAAATCGAAAGGAGAAAAAAGGGGAAAAAAAGAGAAAAAAAAAAAAAAAAAAACAGGTAGCCTGTGGTTGGTTTCCTGAACAGAAAGATCCTATTACAATGCGGTTCAACTTGGCACAAGGGAAAGGAAGGTTCACTTTGTACAGGATCCAGACCATAACTAGCACCCTTAGAAGTCAATGGTGCCATAATGCAAAATACGATTTTTTTTTTTTTGGTCAGGGTAAATCCAATGCAAATAACATCAGATGCTTTGTGTCTGTCAAGAGAATATAAGTATTCTTGTAGATAATAAATTAGTAAGGGTATTCTTGTAAATAGTTTGTTAGGTTTGTACTCCTATAAATACTAATTGGTCACTCATAATACTGTGACTAGATGTTTTCCTTCCAAAATACCAGTTGACATGGTATCAGAGCAAAAGTCCTAGGGTTAGGGTTAAACATCTAGCAAAAGTCTTGACGCGATACTGTTCATCGCGCACTGTTCACGCGGTACTGTTCACGCGATACTGTTCACCCCGGTACTATTCACGCGCACTGTTCACGGCGCACTGTTTATAGCGAATTTTGATTGCTGTTTTGTTTGAAGTGCTATTCGCTATGGTTGAAAGTTTTGCTAATGGGGTTACCACTGATCAAGTTAAATCAAGTTCTTCAGCACATAGGTCCCAGAAAACTATTATTATATCCGAGGAAGATTATGTTAAATTCTTACAGTACCAAACTACAAGTCACGCATCTCTTCCCTCTGCTTCTTTAGCACAAAAAGGTAATGACTCATGGATTATTGACTCCGGGGCTACTGATCATATGTCAGGTACCTCTAAAATTTTTTCTAATTTTCAAGAGTCTACTCCCTTTCCTCATGTTACTTTAGCTGATGGATCTACCACTAAAGTTAAAGGACTAGGCACTGTAGAAATTAATCCATCACTTCCGCTGTCTTCTGTTCTTTACGTACCCAATTTACCATTTAATCTAATGTCTGTTAGTAAGCTCACTAAATTTCTACAGTGTACAGTTACTTTTTCTCCTGATTCCGTTGTCATTCAGGATTTGAAGACAAAGAGGACGATTGGTGGAGGGCATGAGCATAATGGTCTTTACTTTCTCAACTTTAATGGTCCGATAGCATGTCCTGCTACTGTTTCTCCTCTTGAAATTCACTGTCGTTTAGGTCATCCGTCTTTACAAAATTTGAAAAAGTTGGTTCCTACTTTGAATCAATTATCTTCGTTAGAATGTGAGTCTTGTCAGTTAGGAAAGCATCATCGTGTTTCTTTTGCTCCTAAAGTCAATAAACGGGTTTCTGAACCCTTTTTGTTAGTTCATTCTGATGTTTGGGGTCCTAGTCGAGTCACTTCAAAGTTAGGTTTTAAATATTTTGTAGTCTTTGTTGATGATTTTTCCAGAGTTACATGGCTTTATTTAATGAAAGATCGTTCAGAATTATATTCCATTTTTTGTGCATTTGTTACAGAAATAAAGAATCAATTTGGTGTGCCTGTGCGTATACTTCGCAGTGATAATGCGAAAGAATATTTTTCCACTCCTTTTAATACCTTTATGACTAAGTCTGGTATTATTCATCAGTCCTCTTGTCCTCACACTCCACAACAGAATGGAGTTGCTGAAAGGAAAATTGGACATTTAATCGAAATTGCTCGAACACTGTTGTTGCACATGAATGTGCCCAAACAATTTTGGAGTGATGCAGTTCTAACTGCATGTTATTTAATTAATCGCATGCCATCTAATATTCTTGAAGGTCAATTACCTCACTCCATTCTTTTTCCTCATGAACCTGTGTTTAAATTGCCTCCTCGTATTTTTGGATGTGTCTGCTTTGTTCATCAGCTTGCTCCCGGGGTGGATAAATTAGATTCTCGTGCTATTAAGTGTATTTTCTTAGGATATGCACGAGCGCAAAAAGGGTATAGATGTTACAGTCCAGTTTTAAATCGATTTTTTACTTGTGCTGATGTTACTTTCTTTGAATCCACTCCGTATTTTATCAAACAAAGTATGTCTTGTGAGTTAGACCAGTGTCCCTCTTTTTCCTCTCCTGTTTTACCAGTCCCTTCCCCTTTATTACCTGAGTTATCTAGTCCACCAGATTCCATAGCTCGATTATCTCGTCCTCATCTTCAAGTTTACTCTCGTCGTTCCATGGTTGAAAAAGTTCCTGATATGCCACGCACTTCACCAATTAATTCTCAATCTTCCAATCCAGGTATGACGCCCTCCTCTGAGTTAGATCTTCCCATTGCTTTACGCAAAGGTAAGAGACATTGTACTTCCCATCCTATTTCTAATTTTGTTTCTTATTCTCGTCTCTCTATGTCATATTCTTCTTTTGTTGCTTCCCTTGATTCTATCTCCATTCCTAAGTCTATTACCTATGCTCTTAATCATCCTGGTTGGAGATTAGCTATGCAAGAAGAGATGTCTGCTTTGGAACAAAATGGTACTTGGGATCTTGTCCCTCGTCCTTCAGGTAAGCCTGTTGTTGGTTGTAAATGGGTGTACACTATAAAAGTGCAGCCTAATGGTTCTATTGATAGATTGAAGGCTCGGCTGGTAGCTAGAGGATTTACTCAGGTGTATGGAGTAGATTACTTAGAAACTTTTTCTCCTGTTGCAAAGATTACCTCTGTTCGTCTTCTTATCTCTTTGGCAGCCACTTATAATTGGCCATTGCATCAGTTGGATGTGAAAAATGCATTTCTGCATGGAGATTTGAAAGAAGAGGTATATATGGAACAACCTCCTGGATTTGTTGTTCAGGGGGAGAATCCGCGGTTGGTTTGTCGTTTGAAAAAATCCTTATATGGATTGAAACAGTCTCCGAGGGCTTGGTTTGGCCGGTTTAGTAGTGTTGTCATGGAGTTCGGTCTGACAAGATGTGGAGTAGATCACTCTGTATTTTATCGGCATTCTAATGCTGGTAAAATTTTATTAGTTGTTTATGTGGATGACATTGTGATTACAGGTGATGATGTTGTGGGGATTCAGAAACTTAAATCCAATCTGCAGGCAAACTTTCAGACAAAGGATTTAGGTCATCTACAGTATTTTCTGGGTATTGAGGTAGCTCGGTCTAAATATGGGATTTATTTATGTCAAAGAAAATATGTACTCGATATGTTGAGTGAAGTTGGGATGTTAGGTTGCCGACCTGTGGATACTCCTATGGATCCAAATGTGAAATTAGCAGGAGATCAAGGTGCATTACTTGATGATCCTAAGCAATATCGAAGACTTGTGGGTAAATTAAATTATCTCACTGTAACGAGACCTGACATTTCGTTTGCAGTGAGTGTTGTGAGTCAATTTCTTGATACCCCTCGTACTAGTCATTGGGATGCTGTTATACGGATTCTCAGATATCTTAAGAGTGCTCCTGGAAAAGGGTTGCTGTATCAAAATCATGGACACACTGATATTGAAGGATATAGTGATGCAGATTGGGCTGGTTCTGCCTCAGATCGAAGATCGACTACAGGATATTGTGTGTTTGTTGGTGGTAATTTAGTGTCGTGGAAGAGTAAGAAGCAAACAGTTGTATCCAGATCAAGTGCAGAATCTGAATACCGCGCTATGGCTCACACTGTGTGTGAGTTGGTTTGGTTGAAGAGCATATTACTGGAACTTGGGTTTGAGCATAAACAGCCTATGAATTTAGTGTGTGATAATCAGGCGGCTGTTCATATTGCGTCTAATCCAGTGTTTCATGAAAGGACAAAACATATTGAAGTTGATTGTCATTTCATTCGAGAGAAATTGCTTGACGGGGTCATCAAGACATCTCATGTACCGTCTGTAGATCAATTGGCTGATGTGTTTACCAAGAGTTTAGGGGGTTCTAGGGTGAAATACATTTGTAACAAGTTGGGTGCTTATGATATATATGCTCCAACTTGAGGGGGAGTGTCAAGAGAATATAAGTATTCTTGTAGATAATAAATTAGTAAGGGTATTCTTGTAAATAGTTTGTTAGGTTTGTACTCCTATAAATACTAGTTGGTCACTCATAATACTGTGACTAGATGTTTTCCTTCCAAAATACCAGTTGACAGTGTCCATCTATCATATTGGGCATTTCTATTGAATGCACTACAGGGAAAAACTTAACATAATGCCAAATTTCTTCATGTGTTTTGTGCGAAAAAAAGGAAAAGACAAACGTTCAGATTTACCATCACCGATTGCCAAATTACGTGAATGTGTGTTATCTAAATAGCAGTAAACCTGACATGAAGATGGAACAAAATTAGAAAAGGGACAAGAAAAGTTTCAGTCAGAATGACCCTTTACAAGCTCACCATGAAATTACTATTTGTCTAATTCCTCTCCAACTATAATCCCTGCAAAATGATTGGCTAAAACACGTTCCTCTGTGATATTTTACTATTCATTTCATTATCAACCGAGGAAACTAAAGGGTATGAAGAAACAAATACCATTAAAACCTAGATACTGACGGATTCAGAGATTAGTCCTGCTTTTAGTCCACCTCCATATCAGAAATTGCTTCATTTAAGATCTTTTGAAGTTCTTTCAGTCTCTGTCTTGTTAATGCAACGCAATCCTGCAGTTGTGAACTTCGTCAGCAGTTTCTCATGGTGTAAGGAAAGAGGATGAATATGCAGGTGGGAGGGATAGCCATAATAAATGAGTAGAAAGCTAAACATTTTTCCATGCTACAGAAACATTATGGAATCTTATCGCCCATCTCAAGGTGACAAGGTGATGTAGCCTAACCTGAATAGCTGACGTGTGGGCAAGAACTGGGCCACCTGGTTTGTAAAGAGAAACCAATTGACTGGAGGAATCCAACACCACAGTCACAAGTGTCTCCATTATGGACTCTTCCTCTGCTGTAGGATCTGCCAGGATGTAATTCTTGTGAAGTACGCAAGTTAAGGAAAATGGTATTGTAGCCAACTTGAGCTTCCTTTTTTCTTTATTGACTGGCTCCTTCTCCAACTTCCCTCCCCCATTATCCTCAGAAATAAGCACAATTCTTCCCTCGTCATTCAGAGAAACTACAGGAATTTGCACTGCAAGCAATGGAATTCATGTAAGCAAGCAGGTAGTATGTGAACCTCAAGAATTACATAGCACAATCTTCTACTATTATGATGGAATACCAGGAGCCTCAGTTTTGCCATCCAATCTAATTACAGAGATGAATAATCTCGTCTTTTAGTGAACACCAGCTCTATAAAAACCGACTTTTGTGCATATCAGAAGGTGTGAAGATGAAGAGTAGGTAAGAACAAAACAATTGCAGGAGACGGTGAAAACCTTCATCCCAAGGCTGCTATATTTAAGGACCCTATTCTAGGTGAGCAAACAAAAAATATCAAGGAGAACCAGGACTTGGCAATAAAATGTATAAAATCTGACCAACACTGAGTGCGGGCAAGCTGGCTATATTTCAAGGAACAAAAGAATTAGGAGGATTAAAACATACACATATGGCAGTGCCTATCATGATTAAACTAAATTCCTCACACAACCAAACCACTAATTGAAGTTGACAAACATGAAAGACAAAAAAAAAAAAAAAAATGTTGAGTGAACACATCAAGCAAGAGTAGTTTCCCATTATTACTCATTCAGATATTCTCTTGCGTCATTAATCTACTGGGAGAAAATTGGGAAGAACTGAAAAATTTTGATAAGTAATCAGGATAGGAAATCAAGAGATAAACTTACAATGTGAAAAGGCAGCAACTGCTGAAAGCAATGCAGCATCAAAAAGGGAACCTTCAGCATCCAAACAATATATGTCCTGTGCCACCATAGGTCGGTAAAATAAGTAAGCGGTTATATTCACTTAAACCACCAGTCTGAGAAAACACTTCTTCGTCAAGGAAATCACAACAAAGTTCAGTTCAACACAAAAGTAATTAAAGGGACTAAAAACAAAGGTTATGTAACAGTTGCAGCTCAAAATTCATTACCAGGTAAGCCATCCAAGCAGCTTTCCCACTGACCAAAGACAATTCTTTCAAATCAATCATGCCAGAACTATAAAATATTCAACCAAACAATCAGCAAAGACAAGAAAATAGATATCCAGAAACAGAATGCAATCAATCATGCCAGAACTATAAAATATTCAACCAAACAATCAGCAAAGACAAGAAAATAGATATCCGGAAACAGAATGCATGAAGATGCAAGAGGTATGGCACTCAAAGGTAGAAAATGCAAAAGATTCTAATGTTAACAAAAGAAATGTTCAACAATGCACTGAAATACTAATCACCAAGTTTAATTGCTTGACTTTTTCCACAATACCTCATCTTGCAATTTACAGTGTATAAGACCTCTTGCAATCTCTAATGGATTACAAGAGAAAATGCATTTTTACACGTGCAATTCAAAATCAATTATCCAATACTATGTATAAACTAGGTTAAAATAGGAAGTAGTTCATCAATTAGAAAAGAAGTTGATTGCAGGTATGAAGGTGTTGCCATGACTTGCCTCAAAATAGTGTCAGATAACTGCTTTGCCACAACTGGAGCGGCGTCTGCGGGCCTCCCAGGCCGAACAATAGGAGAACATATTGGGGGCATATGAAAATCTATGGCTGTATAAAATTACATGTTTAAGTATTCAATTAACCATAAAAAATTAAGGATGATAAGAGGCTACAAGGAGAACCTATGCATCCCTCATCTGGTGACTCCACTGTAGGTGTAATAACCTCCAATTTAATGGCCGCCAACATGGTCTAAGCATCAAACAAGTGATATGTGTTAGATTCTACGTCAAAAACCTAAACTGCAAGAAAATAAAATGACATGATAGCACTGTGGCATAAGAACTTACCGTACAGCCTATCTTTGTTAGTGCAGATCCATTTGCCGATGTAACAGCTCCTACAAGAAAACCAATTGCAATTAGGTGAAAATAGTAATATCTGCAAATCTTAAAAAGCTTTACGCAAATAAAACCTGGACTAACCGAGGGATATGATTGTATCTCTAGCTTTTCCAAGGGTCCTGCCATCAGGTCTAATAGATTTAAGCAGATGGCGCTCATGAAAACGCAGAGGGAAAAGATGTCTAAAAGCATCCACCTCCATTTCTGAAGATAAATCAGAGCCACCGGCAGCAGCCATGCTGTTTCTAACCTGGCTGGTTGCCTGCAGAGAGCCTCAGCCCTTAGGAAGCTGTTTACTTATATGAAAAGAGCCTACCTTTTCCATCTATCTGTAAGTAAAAAATGCACTAACAACAACATTCTCCGAATAGGAAATAGAAAACCTAAAAGATTTCAAAGGTGACAAATTATCAGCAGTTGAGTGCCGGAAATAGAATCATAATCCGTTATGAAACTTACTAGATTTATCTGGTTCTAAGGCAAAGATGAATAAAACAACAGACCATTGAACAATCTTATAGAATCTTGATCAATAAGAACCAATCTTCTCATGTCAAAAGCGATAAAATTTTCTAAACTAGCAAAAGATCACGCATTTGGACAGATCTTAAGAAAGAAAATAATAGTGAAAAACACATGTTCAAATATTATTGCACTCATACCACTGCCTTCCATGTGTCTAGCACTATTCTAATGATGTGACTAGCTAGCATGCAAAAATTTCTTAAATCTCCAGCCTTGTGTATGATAATGGATAATATTTGTCAATACCAAAGCCTAAAGTTTTAGCTTGGTTTTCAAACAAGATGGCCAGTGCAGGGGAAAAAAGAAAGTTAACCAAATTAGGACAGGTGATTATTGGAAAACAATGCCTTCAATGTCTAAGGAAACAAACACATCAAGTAGAAAATGAAGCCCAGCAAAGAGTTCCAATGTATTTTTGACAAATAAAATAGAAAAATACATAGATATCAATAGCTGACAACTCTCTCCATCTCAATAGTGTATGATCTAGCCTATGGCTTTAACAAAGCATGTATTGTTATGAACACTTTTTTACGTTAACAGAAATCATCCTTATCCACTAAACTTTGAATATAAGCCTATATGTAAACTCATTTATAATTTTGTCATATTGAATTAAATCTTTTGTTTATCTTGGTTGCAGCAATTTTAAAAACCATATCTTCATATACAATCATTGTTAAATTCTAAGACAAAATGCCTTATGATGTAACAGTTCCTATGTTTCCAACTTTTCTAATGCTTATTACACCCCATTTCTAATGCTTATCTCTTCAGGAATAGACAAAAATTTAGACCATAATTAATCACCCCATTTCCTTCATGATGTCTGTACTTCCTTTTCTGTTTATTTGTTTCTAGATGTCGAATTCCTAATAGTTTTGGCTTTGGGATCTTGAATGTAATAGTGAAATTTTCACCAAAATATCTGTATCAGTCAAGCTTTTGGATTATTAATCTCAGCAGAAATCAGGTTATGGTATTTTAAAGTCAAAAACAAATATCTCTGTCTGTATAAAATCTTTAAACAGCTTTGCTGCAGCATTTCAGTTTTTCACACTTGCATTGCCAAGCAGTGCACAATTTCATGGGAACACACTTACACAGGGAAACCCTGTTTTAGACTCTAATATATTTGGCTTCCTAGATGTGCTTAATCTAGTGTGAGATTTCTTAGCTCTGTTCTGATATTGCAGAAATTGCAGTTGTAGGGGAAAAACCTAAAAAGGGAGAAAAAGAGAAAGATAAAAGGTATAATTCAAAGTACAATCAACCGCACACTTTGGATAGCACTGGTGCTGAGAAAACTTTTGTGCAACTTCAAAGGCCAAATTGCTGCAGGACAAAATATTGTGAGAAAGAGGCTCTCTCTAATTTCCAGGCAAGACCTAACTGAGTTAAAAAATGAACTTATTTTTATTTACAAATTCCAACTTACAACTATAGGGAAAAAAATCACCATCAAAATCTAAAGACAGTAACTTGATTGGGATGATGGAGACAATCTATATATATATAGATAGAAAGATTCCATTATGAAACTGTTGGATTTACCAACTTTTGTCATACATACAGAGAGAGAGAGAGAGAGATTAGAGGTGTAATTCAATGTGCAATCAACTACACACTTTGAACAACATTGGTGGTTAAAAAACCTTTCTGTAACTTCCAAGGCCAAATTCCTGCAGGAAAAAATATTGTGATAAAGAGACTCTCCCAAGTTTCTAGGCAAGGCCTAACTGAGTTGAAAAATGAAGTTATTTTGATTTACAAATTCCAACATCCAAGATCCTTTATTTCCTAGTTCAATTCTAATGTTGCACAACTTGCAAGTGCAGGGAAAAGGTCTCTGTCCAAATCTAAAGCCAGTAACTTGATTGAGATCATGGACACAACAATCTATATATGTAGATAGAGATTATTTGCAATCAATTCAGGACTTGCCTTTATAAACAGATGCAAAAAATATTTTGTTCTTCTTGCAGCCAGCATACAGTGTCCAGAAAGAGAGAGACAGATTAGAGATGTAATTCAAAGGGCAATCAACTACACTTTGAACAGGAATGCTACTTGAAATCTTTTCTGCAACTTAGACGGCCAAATTCACTAACTACACATAAATTCCATCACTCCTCCAGGGGAGCAAAACACTACTGAATTTCTGATGCAATGCAATCACCAAATAGAAAGACATCAATCATATTAAAACAGATTTGCCTGCCAAGAGTCAAAGGGCAATCGACTACACACTTTAAACAGGAACCATACTTAGAAAGACAGATAAGAGATGTAATTCAAAGGGCAATCAAGTACACGTTTTGGACAGGAATGCCACTTAGATAACTTTTCAACAATTTAGAAGGCCAAATTCACTAACTACACATAACTTCCATCACTCCTCTAGTGGAGCAATGGTTCACGCCTTTGTTTTCCAGCCTTATGGATTTCCATAAATTGGTTGGCAAGTGGTGGAATTTGTCTAGTGCTCAATTAAATCATTTGCTGAACTTGTGGCTAAAAGCAAGTGGTTTAGGTGTCTGTTCTTACTTATTGTGTCTGTCCTATGAGAATGGAGAAATGAGGAAGCAGCTGGAATTTGAATGGCAATGAATATCCACCAACAAGATTTGGCAGCATACGACACATCCAAAAAAAAAAGAGAGAAAGATACAGTCATCATGCTGATGACTCTGTAACAATGAAAAGAAAATGGACAATCACTTAGTACTATAAGGCACAGAACTAAAAGGTGTTGAGGTGAGTCCCTCAACTTTGCCAAACCTTTCAAGTCTGAAGATTACACAAACCAAAACAGCTATGCATATTACAATGAACCCTCTTCTGATGTATTTGTTTCACTTCAATTCAATCATTGTCTACTCCATACCTTGTACGCTTAAAAATAAATAGAATATGAATAGCACATGAACTAGAAAAACTCTGCATATTAGTAACACACAAGGCTGCTTTATTAATCATATCACCAAATCAAAGACTTAAAAAAATCAGAACAAAGTATAGATAAATTCTGAGCTGCTTGAAATACCAACAAATAAAAGCCAAAAACAATAAAAAAACACAACCCAATTAACAGTCAAATACTGACCTCCAAAAAACCACCACCAAGAAAAGAAAAAACTTGGGTCCAGAGGCACAAATAATACAACTTTAGAGAACAATTTACAGCCTTGAAAAGCCAATCAAAAGTCAGTTGCATGTTTACACCAAAATTTGTTAGTTGCAGGGTCATAAAAGCTTACAAAGGGGAAGCATTTGATACATGTGACAAATACTTATAAGCCACAAAATGAAGATACTTGGATTGAGATTATGTTGACAAAGAATAATATAAAAGACCCAGATTTTTCCTTTTCCGATGCCATTCATAAGCATAACTTGCTTATTAACCACCAATCAAATTTGCTATTACCAAAAATCAAAATGTGATAAGAAACAAAATCAAGAAAGACGTTACTGGAATTTTCTATACAATCACAGATATTTTAGGAAAATACAATAAAGAGGGAGAGAGCAGAAACCTGAAGAAATTATAAACCTCAGCTTGTGGATAACTCTGATGAACACCCTCAGTTGACTGAATTAGGAAAACAGGAACAAATTGAACTCCTACAAAACCATACAAACTAAACAACCAGAAACAAAATCAAGAAAGACCTTACTGGAATTTTCTAAACCAAAGAATTGCAGAAATTTTAGGAAAATATAATAAAGAGGGAGGGAACAGAAACCTGAAGAGATTATAAATCTCATCTCATGGATAACTCTGATGAACACCCTCACTTGACTGAATTAGGAAAACAGGGACAAATTAACTCCTAGAAAACCAGAAGAGGAAAAAGCATGACTGACAAGTTACAAACTAAACAACCAGAGGAGAATCAAATACACAGAATTTAATAATTGCACACAAATATATTACTGTGGGGTTTACCAGACCTGTATTCAATTGTGTAAATGAGATGAGGGGAAGGAAGGAAAAGCTGAAGTCTGCTACTAAGTGAAATCAACGGCAAACAAAAGAAAAAGAATAGAAGACTTCACCGTTTACCACCCACTACCACTTCAACTCATTAAAAAACAATTAAAAACTGACACATGCCCACAAGAAGATATTGTGTGTACCGTGTTAGGTGACTGAGTGACCAATAAAATGCCAGAAAATAAGCACTTCAAGGACCAAAAAGGGCCAGAAATCATCCCTACAAGGAGACAATTAGGACGGTGGTATTTCATTTTTTTTTTTTGGTCAAATTTAAAATGGTGGTTAAGGTGAGGAATCTATGTTCGAGAACTTGAGAATGCAAGGGAAGCAGTGTGGTGATGAAACCGTCTAGGAGTTTTAGAGTTTTAGAAAGTCTGGTGGAGAAAACAATAATACAGAAGATGCAGAAACCACGAATCATTTTGCCACGCCTCTTTCAAATGGCATTTGTTGGCAAGATGAAAGAAGCTTAAACGACCAAAAAACCAGTTAAATCCATCCAAAATACAAAATAACCGGATGAATGGCATTAATCAATCACAAGACAACAAGGGAACAATCAATTGAATTCAATTCCAATCTCAATTGCAACCTTCCATCTTTAGTATGGTAAGATATGACATTGTTTCATACTTTGGATTCATATATGCATCTAAATAGCATGCCAACTCGAGAGTACATGAAAAAGAAGTTAGAGGACAGTTCAAAGTAGCAAGTAACCAATTTAATTTCATTCCATAATCACAACTTAGAAAGATGCTTTCTTATGAATAATAGAGTAAATGTTACAAAGTATGATTAGCTAATAGTTGGATAAACTAGAAGTCAAATCAAGAAAATGCTAATTAAGAGTTTAAGGGGGAAAAAAAGAAGTCCTCCTCTATCATGGCTACCCTTCTGATCATAGTTCTCAAGGCACAAGTCCAGCAAAATCCTTACACATTCATGGTATACACTAACTTATCGGCATGCTTCACCTACGGTAGTAGCACTGTTAAACGATACTAAAACATATCCTACAAAACTGTAGTTGGGGTCACAAGAAAGGTAAAGTGGAAGAACAGCGATTTTACACGGATACTACAATCAAAATCACAGTCAGACTAATATAAAAAGAATTTTCTCAAGTAACATCCTTTACATTAGGATATGCTATAACTGCAAATGAGCATAGCTAGTATTATTTTGCACTCAGAAATAATATTTTGGGAACCGCATACAAAACAGTTGGGTCACTCTATCCGTCTAAATAAAATTGACTAGATAACGCATCATTCTTGTTTAACCATCTTTCTTTTTCCCAGTTCAGCTCTTGCTCAGCCATTAATCTCCCAAAAAGTGGAAGCAAGAGTATAGTAAACATTAAACCCCTGAATGACAATGAACAGAATATGCATGTGCACGAACAAAATGATAAATAATTTCACATAATTACAGCAGTAAATGGATAAACAACTTTCCTCATGAAATTTCCATGACAATTTATCAAATTTCAGTCCAAAAAAAAGAAAGAAATCCATTTTTTACACAAGAAAAAATTTCACTAAACCTTGCAACTACATGTCCGCTAGTCATCTACATTCTTAATCAAATCCCAATCACCATTTGCCAATTCCCTCTCCACGCAGCACCACTTACTTAACCCGCTATTTTCCTCACCTGCAACCACTCACCACTATACTTGCACCATAATCACCTCCTACCTGTCTTCCACTCCACACTCGAACCCACTGGAACTCTTTCTCTTGTACAAGACAATGTCAGGTTGAAGGAGAAGATGATTAAGGCCATAACTAAATAATACCCAAAAAAATTGGGCAGAAATTTTAGACAAAAATAAAATAAGGAGAAAAAGAAGAGACATGGAAAAAGCACCTCCTGTAGAGACTCGCTGGACAACTTCGGTTCAGCATCGGACAGACGTGAATCGATCGACAGAGAGAAGCGGAAATGTACTTTTGGTGTCTATATTTATAACAAAGGGTTTTTCAAATTTGACCCTCGCCATATTTTTTGTTTACTAATTCCCCCCTTTACTTATCTTGTACTTAAAATTTCAATCAAAATTTTTAGGGAAAATTGCCAATTTAATCCCTAAACTTTTTCACTTAAATCAATTTCGTCCTTTACGGTTTTTTTTCACCAATTTAGCCTTCTAACAATTTTATCAGGTTCAATGTAGGATTTATTGGGCAGCGCCACCACATTTTATGTATTTCGTACAGCGGGTCAAGGGTATAATTGGAATGACAATTTTGACTGTCTAATTGTAGCGATTATAATAGAGACTTTTAGGCGATTAAGGACAAAAACCTCTGAAAATTGAGAGAGGAGAGCACTAAAGAGAAACCAGACCAAGGTCTCTACAAAAAGTCAGCCACTGCCCGTGAGTTGTACACTTTCCTCTTCTACTATAGTATAATAAGTTGTCTGCTTTTGTCACTAGGATTTTACCAGGCAGAGCTAATGAAACCAGAGCTTTTCCACGTACTCTTAGTGCTATAACATGGTTCCGTATTTCAGTATTTTACTACTTCTCTAATGCCGCCCAAAAAATATTAACTCCCGAGTCCCCGGTGCCACTCCATCTAAGTATATATCCAAATCCAAGGACATAGATGCCTTGCCCTTGCTGCCACTGCTGTTGTTGTTGTTGTTGGAGGGCATTGTGTGGAGCGGTGGATGGCTGGCATAATTGTATGGCCTCAACTGCAGAAGAAGAAGAAGAAAGCGGAGGTGGAGGTGGAGATGAACACAAATGGGGAAATTGTTATGGCATTGTAGGATGATCAACTGCGGTGGAAAATAATTCAAGTATGTCACAGTTATCATCCTCCTAATCCTTCGACAACGACTCCGAGATGGGGCAATCCATGTTAACTCCAAACAGCTTCAGCCGCTTTGCTGCGGCCTTTCCTTGGACCAGTGGCACCGAATCAAACACTATTGGCTCCTCCGCCTCACTACCTCCTCTGGGTTCAACCTAACGCTGCCTCCTCCTTCTCCTCCTTTCTGCACCAGTTGCACCGTTCTGATTCCCAAATTAACCGGTAGTGGCCTTGCAGCCGCAGCGGATCTGAGATGAATGAACGGGCTGGGACAACCGTTATTACATTGCCGTAGGCATAGTTGTTGCTTAGATGATGAGGATAAGATGGATAGGCATTGTTGTTAATACCAACATCAGTAGCAGCATTATTTAGTTGTAGCAACTGGGAATGGTCCCTGGGGGTTTGCTACTGCTGATGATGCTGCAAGTAGAAAAAATAGTTCCAAGGATGGGGGAAAGAATATTGATGATGTGGAAGCAGCTGCGAAAAACTAGTAATGGACATGGAAGGAGGCAACTGGGGGTGGTCGGGAGCATCGGGTTGGTGCCTCCAATCAATGAACAATCGATCCTTGTCCAGCTCACCCACTCCGTGCTCAAAGGAGATGATGTTCCCGACATCGAGCTTCTTTTTTTGACGAAGCGGCTCCAGCTTTTCTTAAATTTTGATGCTTATGAAACCTGTTTCTCTCTCAATTTTCAGAGGTTTTTGTCCTTAATCATCTAAAAATCTCTGTTATAATCCCCATAATTAGATAGTCGAACCTGTCATTTCAATTATATCCTTGGCCCGCCGTGCGAAATACATAAAATGTGGTAGCGCCGCCCAATAAGCCCAATAAGTCCTACATTGAACCTGATAAATTGTTTGAGGACTAAATTGGTGAATAAAAACCGTAAAGGACGAAATTGATTTAAGTGAAAAAGTTTAGGGATCAAATTGACGAGTTTTCCTAATTTTTAGTTGAAGTATAATTTTACAAATAGATCACTCATTACTACTTTTTCTAACATTGTTTGTGAAAAAATTTGTGACAATATTTTATTAAATTCATATGAGTGGTGAAATTCTTACGAGTTTGTTTGGGTTGTAAATTATTTACCAATTTTTATTTGCTTGTATTATTAACATATTTTTCAATTTTTTAATCTCACATACATCACATAAAAAAATTTTATAGTAGTTTTTTTTTCTAAAAAATTATGTCAAATAATCAACCATCCAATCATATTACTTGCATCATTAAAATATTTTTTAATTATTTTTTTGTTTCACATACATTATATAAAAAAAATGTTATAGTAGTTTTTTTTCTAAAAAACTATGTCAAATAATCAATTATCCAATTGCATTGTATGCTAACTAAGCAAATAGTGAGAATCCTTAAAACCGGATCAAATGGACCTGATCCGAATCCTCAAGTCCATTTGAAAACCGGATCAATTGGACAATGTTTTGATCATAGATTGATTAGTTTAAATTGGACATTTTGGTCCGTTGTCAAATTTGATATAGCATGGTCTGTTTACCGATTGTTGTTTTGCTTGAGTCTTGAGCCGTTCGGCCTGGTAATTCAAAGCAATCAGTTGGGATACGAAAATGAGTTCTTAACTGTGAAAGCTACTAGTTGTTTATACATGGTTACTCTTTGCCATTAAAAACATCAATTACCTTTACTATGTCAGATATGATTATGATTTTCTAATTTCCTTCATTCTAATCATTATTATGGTCTTCTTACCTTTTTTTTTTGTCTTCAGGTTATGGTTTTTTTCTTTTTTAGTTTAATTCACCATTTAACACCAATACTATGGTTTACAATTCATGTTTGTGAATTGAGATGGTTTAGTTCTTTACATTTCTCAATTTTGACATGGCTGACTTAAGTTCTTTTGGGTTTATTGTTATAATCATGGTTCAAAGTTGCGATCGTGATTGCGGCTCGGACCGTTCCACATCGGTCTTGATATATCGGTCACGGTTTTGGTGAGACGTAAATTTTGAAACATTTAATATTCTAAAAATTGTGAATAATATTAAAAAATATGCTAAACAAAAATAACAAAAAAAGCAAAAGAAAATCTGTAAAATGTAAATTTGCGAGTTGGCTTTGGATGACTCGAGCGACATTATCCGTATCGAAAACTTCTCGGCTGAGTTCTCGGTAATTCGGCCGATTTTTCGATGATTCATGTATTTGGAGTCATCTCGTCCCGGTATTAGAACGAAGAGATCCATTCTGGTGATGACTCGGCCAAGATTTTGAACCATAGTTATGATTCAACTTAATTTTGATAGAATTGAGGCCATATCTTTTTGTTTAATTCTAATTGTAGGGACTTTGTAACTAAGTAGTCCTAATAAGTGTCAATGACAATGCCTTATTTTTGTGTTTAGTTATTCCACCGTTGGCTTGTAAACGAGCATCCTTGTAGGACAAGAGTTGTCAGGGATAAACAAGGCAAGGTAATTAGTAAGAGGAATAACTTATTAAGGGAAAAGTAAGAGTACACAAAAATATAGGGGCTTACTCTTAGATAGTATCATCCCTGAGATTTTCTCTCCCAGTTTATCTAATAAAAGTTGCTTGAGGTAATGTGCATAACAAATAATTTAATTGGTTAAATAATGTTCATTTCAAGTTTCAGTAGATACTTATTAGTTGCTTCCCAAAGTAATATGCTCCTCCCATAATTTACTTGATATGAAATTTGAAGGCCTGAAATCAAAAGATATCATCATTCTTCTTTCTGTTTTGCTCAGAAACTATTAAGTAGAATGTTGTTTATTGACAGTTGATAGATACAAAAAAATTTATTTCCTAATCACCTTTTAATTTCGCATATATCAAATTGCGACATTATATCTTTCTACAAAAACTTTAGAAAATAGCAAATTCAAACGGGCCCTTAGGGACACCAGTAGATGCTAGCCAGCTGGTATAAATTTAAAATTACTACAATTTCACAATGTCTTGTACAGCTTTATCCCTAGCCAAAGAAGGCACTTTCAAGGAACACATCAGACAATATTCGGATAAGATGAATGCATTCACTGGCCCCTAAATGAGAGTTTCTATTAGTACTCACAAGATGAACTACAAGCTTTTGTACAGTTGAGCCTCACAACAAATTTCATGTCAGGTTTTTCTAAGCTTAAAATAGATGGCCTAAATAGGACAGAATTTGGGCTTCCCTCTTCTGCTGTACTTCAGAAAGTGTCCACCCTTCTTCAATGTGACAATTGCCTGCATTTGGGTTAGGATTAATGTAACAATTATGATGCGTGAGACCCTAAGCTAAGTGATAATGTTGATTTCATGAAGTTTAAACTATGCAAATAAAGTAACTTAGAAAACAATTTGTTTTCTGCACACAAATGTACAATACTTGGATGGATGCAAATACAGAGGAAGTCGAGCTCAAACAATTGCTTAAGCAAGATTTTGCTGGTGGAGAGGATAATTAGCTAAAATCATAAGATGAACAGAAAGAAAGGAAAAAGGGGTAGACAAAAGTAAAGTCAGCTGGACATTTATTACCAGGAGTCATAGGAGCAGTAAATGCTTTACTGTTTTGATTTTACTTATCTCTCCAAATGTCAAGACTTTTATGGATTTCCCTGCTAACAAAACTATGCTGTTCATTTTGAACTTGTTTCAACACCTGAGAAAAAGGAATAGGACTTTAACTACATTGTTAAGAACATTCTGCCTATACCAATCTCAAGTAAAGCATCCTGTAACCTAAGCCATTATAAATAAGGCTTACTAGATTATAAAGCAGATTACACCTCAATTTTCCTACGCATATCATGTCTTATTGCCTCTGAGATAAGGAGCAGTTTCTTGTGAACAGGATATTTCGACGGCTTGGACTTAGCCCTCAATGTCTAACTATACATGTGCATGTGTTTCAGGATAGTTTCTTGCATCAACTCAAATATTTTTATGAAGTACTTGAGTAAC